ATATATATTTGGTTACATTTTAAATAGTCTTAAGGCTTTGAGTCCTCAAGTGACTAATTAGTACAGTAATAATATTCTTTTTTATTAATCTGAAAATGATGCTGTCCTCAAGAGACCTCAGTTTGATTTGTGTGTTTTGATGCCAGTGTAGAAATTTTATTTCTCACTAAAGGAGTTTCTTCTCTGTGGTTGGAGAGAGATGCAAAACCAGGTCTGGAGTGGGACTGCTGGGATGCTGTGTGGCTTTATGGAGGATAGAAGAGTCAGTTTCCCATGGGATGAAGAATTTATGTGCAAGCATTGGAGGTTTTTACGTGCCTGGCACTATGCTGAGGGATTGAGTTGCATTCTTTCATTTATTTCTCATAATCCTATGAGATAGTATCCCCATTTCTAATTCTGTGAAAATTGGAGATCTAAATATGGATGAGGAGAGGTTTTGAACAAGAGTGCCCCATTCCCTGAGCATGCCACGTATTCTCTCTGGAATGTAGAGTTGCGGGGTGGATGCTGAGACTAAATGCTGTCACTTTCCCCCCTTATTAGAATACTAGAGGCCCGGTGCATGAAAATTCATGCACTGGAGGGGGGAGTCCCTCAGCCCGGCCTGCCCCCACTCACAGTCCGGGAGCCCTTAGGGGTGGGAGGTGACCCGGTGATCAGGGGAAGGTGACACCCCATCACCCCTCTGCGGCTGCCACTGCTGGCAGTGCAAGCCTCGGCCGGCTCTGGTTACCTGAGCCTCGGCCAGCCCTGGGCTGCTGGGGGGCTGAGGGGCCTGGGGGACTCTGGAGGCAGGTGCACAGAGCGGCCAGGTCTGTCTGGGGGCGGCCCTGGCCTTGCCGTGCACCTGCCGCCCTGGCAGGGCTGAGGGGACTCGGCGTCACCATCTTGTGGCTGTGGGCACCGACATCTTTGAGGGCAGGGCAGTCAATTAGCATATTCCCTCCTTATTGGCTGTGGGCACCACCATCTTTGCGATGGCGTGAGGGTCAATTAGCACATTTCCTCTTTATTAGATAGGATGTCTTTAAAAATCAGCTTAAAATAGGCAGCAGAGTACAGAAAGTATATTTAATGTGCCTAATCATACCACTTAACCCTCAAACTGATTTTTAAAGACATATTCTAATATCTGTCCTCTGATATTAATTGGCTGGGGTGCAACATGTTTCATACCCACATTACTTTATTTATTTATTTATTTATTAGTATTTTTTAAATTGATTTCAGAGAGTAAGGGAGTGGGAGAGAGAGATAGAAACATCAATGATGAGAGAGAATCATTGATCAGCTACCTCCTGCACTCCCCCAACTGGGGATTGAGCCCACACCCCAGGCATGTGCCCTGACTGGGAATCAAACCATGACCTGGTTCCTAGGTGGATGCTCAACCACTGAGCCACTGCGGCTGGGCTGTTTATTAATTTCTTAGTAGCAGAGCACTGCTTTATTAAAAACCAACTAGAAGCCTTCACTTTTAAAAATAAAGGGTGAAGAAGATTGGGGATGGCTTTTCCCTTCTTGCCTTGTAATAGCCAACACCCGAGAAATCTTTTATTGCCGAGGGCTCCGGGTTATGGAAGAATCGCAAAGAAACAGAAGGATTAACTCCAGAGTCAAAACTTTGAGATGTTAATGTGCTTGAGTGGAACATTGCACTGAGAAAAATGTTAGAAGATAACATGCAAGAAAAAGTGTTCCACAAGGGAAATACTGCTGCTGAAACTCCGAGTGCAAGGTGTTCTTAATAGTTGTTCCTTTAGCCCCACATTCAGGCAGCAGTTTAGACTTTCATGGCAGTCTAACACATTCTGGTCTGGAGAGATCTCCCAAGACATACCGAAGGGTGCAGGACAGCATGGATTGCACAGTCTCGTCTAGTGCAGAAGTTTGAATGTGTATAGTTGTAGGTATATACATGCATAGAAAAAGAACTGGAAAGATACACATGAAAACATCTCCATTTCAGGAAGGGAATGGAAATTGGAGAGGAAAGGGTTTTTGTGTGAATTTCCTTTATATGTTTCTATCTTTAAATGTTCACACAACACACACACACACACAGTTAAAAAACCTATATTAATAGGGAAAGCAAAGATTTAAGGTCTCAGAGAAAATGTATGGTGGGTAAGGCATAGGCTCTGGAGTAAAATTGCCAGGGTTTAAATCCCATCTCTTTTACTTATTGGCTTATACATCCCCACCCAAGTTATTTAATTTCTGTGCCCCAATTTTCTCAACAGGGATCATGGTACCTATGTTATCATAGTTGTTAGGGGGCTTTAATAAGTAATACTTGGGAGAGCATACAGCTCAGTCCCTGACACAGTAAACTTTCAGTACATGTTAGTTATTATAAATGGTAACACTTATACTACATCTAGCTATAATCAATTCTTTGTGCAGACTTTTCAGTGAAAAATGTTTCCAGTGACAGCTTTAGTAATCGCAATATATTTTCTCCAAGTTTCATTGTAGCTGTCAATGATCTTGTCATATTTTTACCCCACTGGTGTTCAGAACTTCAAAAGGAGAAATAACAAAAACAAATGGGCATTATCTTGTTTTATGTAGCGTGCCATACATTTCCCTTGTGGAATAGTCCTAACATGTGTCTTTGACCATGTTAATGTAATGGACATATGAGAGTAAATTAAAGAAATAGAAATAATTAGGTTTTTCTTCCTTCCTTAGGAAGACTATGATCGTCTGCGGCCTTTATCTTATCCAATGACGGATGTCTTCCTTATATGCTTCTCTGTGGTGAATCCAGCCTCATTTCAAAATGTGAAAGAGGAATGGGTACCAGAACTTAAGGAATATGCACCAAATGTACCCTTCTTATTAATAGGAACTCAGGTATGTCTGCTTTGATCTTACCCTTTTAAGAAAACTCTCTCTGGTCTATCTTGTGGTGTTGCTCTCAGACCAATGGTCCTGAGGTTTAGAAAATAATATGTGTATTTAAGCTCAGTTGTAAGTTATAAGAAAATCTATCACATTTTTTGAAAATACAGTGCTAAAAGAAAGCAATTATCTTAGTTGGTTTAAGAAATTAAGATCCTTTGTTTAATCTTTTACTGGTATGTGGGAATTAAGTGGGGCTCCGTGCTTTGATTCATCTTTAAAGACTTGTAATTATTATGGAATATTATTGACCTTTCTTCATTAGATTGATCTCCGCGATGACCCCAAAACTTTAGCAAGACTGGATGATATGAAAGAAAAGCCTATATGTGTGGAACAAGGACAGAAACTAGCAAAAGAGGTAATGGAACCTTTACAGAATTTACAAATAAGTGTAAAAACAGCTAAAGTAATACTAGAAGCTGACATTTATTGTGCACTTACTGTATGTCGGGCACTGTGCTGAGCGCTTTCCATGCATTATCTCATTTAATCCTTGCACTGACTCCGAGGTAGGTCTGACGAGCTCCCTATTTTATAGAACAGAAAACGGAGGTGTGGCGATGTCAGGTAACTTGCAAGGTCCCGCAGGTAATAATGGCAGAGCTAGGTTTCAGTCAAGGCCTGACTCCAGAGCCAGACTCTTATACCACCAACAATATTTTCTTAATAAGTCATGTGTAGATAGAGGCATCATAAAAAGGTGCTGATCTTTCAGCCCTTCTTAATCACTTAAATATTGGTACTGCGCCAGATCAGGCTCTGTCATCAGTTAACACTCATGGAGTAGGTAGTGGAGTGGCATCGGGCGACAGATTAAATCTGCAGTTAAAAACAAACATGATGGCTAGGTTTGAAATAAACGAGTTGAGTTTTCTTCCAGTCTTTTTATGAAAGATATGCAATAGTAGCATTCTAAAAAAGATCTAACTGTGATGCACATAATATCTTTTAACTTGTATTTTTCCTCATCCCAAAGCTAGGCTTATGTTTTTCTCTATTGGGCCCAAACATTATTGGATTCTATTTTTTCGATGTGACTTTAATAGGACTTTGGTGGAAACAGATTCTAATAAGCTCCTTTAAAATGTACTATCAGGAGGCAAAAGAAAGCAAGAAAACTTTTGGGAGGACAATTTTTCCTACAGCAAAAGATAAATAGCTTCACTAACAAATCACTTTAGAAATTTCATATATTCATTTTGTAATCTTGGGGAGAGAAGGAATTTCTAAATGACACAAAGGTAAAAGTCATAAATGAAAATATTGATGATTTAACTACATAAAAATGTAATGCATCAAATGCCAGGAATAAAATTAAAAGTCATATAACAAACTTGACACGTATGGCAAAAAAAATAAATTAATATGCTTAGTACACAGGAACCCCTTGCATATGAATTAATCAGACAAAGAATTATATGCCCAATAGAAAAGCGAGTTAAGAACATCAATAGAGCCGAAACCGGTTTGGCTCAGTGAATAGAGCGGTCGGCCTGCGGACTGAAAGGTCCCGGGTTCGATTCTGGTCAAGGGCATGTACCTAGGTTGCGGGCACATCCCCAGTAGGAGATGTGCAGGAGGCAGCTGATCGATGTTTCTCTCTCATCGATGTTTCTGACTCTCTATCTCTCTCCTTTCCTCTCTGTAAAAAATCAATAAAAATAAAAAAAAGAACATCAATAGAAAATTCACCAAAAAATGCAAATTGCCATTGAAGATAGAAAATATGTTAAAACTCCTTAGTAGTCAAATGTAAGTTCGATTTTCACCTATAAACTTGGCCTAAAAATTGAGAAATGAATTACAATAACCCCTCTTCCACGGGTGCAAGGAAATGAGCACTCTATTGTACTGTTGGTCGTTGAGTAAAAACAGTCTTGATAATATGCAAAAGCCTTAAAGTCATGCACACTCTTGTTCAAGCAATTCCATATGTTGGAATTTATCCTAAGAAAATTATTTGAATGTTCTTAAAGAGATGGCTACAAAGTTGCTGCATTGTTTATAAAGGCAAAAAATAAACCCGCATCTATTAAAAATTTATACTAATATATCCATTGAGATGTTCAAATTTATTATGTATTTTAAGAAAAAAAAGTGGTTGCAAAACAGTATGATCCCATTTTTAGGCCTCTCAGCAGCATTTGGCAGTTGATTCCTTCATGAAATACTTTCACTTGGCTTCTTCGAATGCTCTCTCTCTCTCTGGTTTTTCTCCCCGCTTGTCGGCCTTTCCTCTATCCCTTCATCTCCCTGTCTCAGAATGATGGAGGGCCCAGGGATCAGCATTCAACTTCTTGGACATTTTTTCTTCTAAACCCACATTCATTCTCCAGACTTAGGTGAGCTTCTGTCAGTCTTGTAGTTTGAACAATCTTCTACTGAAGACCCCCAAATTGCTATCTCCAGCCTGAAACGCTTCCCTAAACTCTAGACTTGCTTATCCAGCCATTCACCCGACAAGTCCATCTTGATGGCTAAGCATGGCAAAATTAACATGTCCAAAACAATTCCTAATTTTACCCTCCAAGCCTGTCCTCCCAGTTACTCAGGTCAAAATCCTTGAACTCACACTTGACCTTGTTGTTCTTACATAATGCTCTACCTCCATAATATATCTAGAATCCAAATGCTCCGCCTCTTCTATCAGTCAGGTTCGGGCCCCTCCATATCTAGCCTGATTACTGTGCGTTTCTAACTCACCTTTCCATTTCTCTCTGTGCCCCGTGTTAACCTGTGCTCAACACAATATCCTGAGCGAGTCTTAAAATATAAGCCCCATCAGATCACTGCTCTGCTCAGGATCCACCAGGGGCTCCCAGCTCACACAGTCAAGGCCAGAGTCCTCACTGTGGCCCCTGGTACCTCTCTTCCTACTCAGGCACGTGAGCTCCTTGCTGTTCCCTTCTGCCTCAGGGCTTGGAATTTTGCTGCTCCCTCTGCCTGGAATGTTCTTCCCTCTGGAACATTATTTATTCTTTCTCCTTTCAGATCTCTGCTCAATCAAGACCTTGCCTTGATTTCATCCCTACTCCTCACCTATCTCGCTTCTCCATTTTTCTGCAGACCACATAATACCCTGTGCTTTATCAATGAGACCTTGCCTTGATTTCATCCCTACTCCTTTACCTATCTTGCTTCTCCATTTTTCTGCAGACCACATAATACCCTGTGACATTCTACCTCTGTATTTATTAGTTCATGGTCTTCTCCCTCTAAAATGGAAGCTTCATCAGTAGAGACTTTTTTATTCCTTACTATATTCTCTCATTTGGCAAATAAAAGTGCTCATTACATTTTCAATGAATGAATGGTTTCCCCCAATGTAGAAGCCAAAGTCTTTAGAGTGGCCTCAAGGCCACCTCACTGACCTCATCTCTTGCCATCCACCACCCTCCCCTGACCTGCACTCACTCGCTCCTGCCACTGTGGCTTCTTTAGTGTTCCTGGATCGCTCCAAGCAAGCTCCTCCATCGGGGCCTTTGCACCTGGGCTCCATCTGCCTAGATATGCTTCCTCTAGTTATCTCTCACTGATCAAATGTCACCTTGTAGAGCTTTCCGACCACCACCACCGCCCTCTGCTCTCCCCATCTTCCTCACTCTGATATCTTTTTCTCCAGAGCATGTGCCACCATCCCTCCTTTGTCCCTCCCCCAGAACTTAAGCAAATGTAAGCATCACACAGCAGGGACCTGGCTCAATTGTTTAGTTCATTGACAGTATCCCCAGCACCTAAAGCAGTGCTTGGCATAGGGTAGGTACTCAGTAAATATTTGATGAAAGAATTATTCCCAAAATGTCTGGAAGGATATATACAGTACTAGTAACTTAACAGTTAGCTATCTCTGAGTATTTTGATTTCATTCTTTTTGCATAGCTCCTAGTATATTTTTAATGTTCCTTATAATGGTGTCTGTGTCATACCAGTTGTGGAAAAAGATGTTATATATTTGTGTTTGTTCTTTTTCTCCCTCCCAGATAGGAGCGTGCTGCTATGTGGAATGTTCAGCTTTAACCCAGAAGGGATTGAAGACTGTTTTTGATGAGGCTATCATAGCCATTTTAACTCCAAAGAAACATACAGTAAAAAAAAGAATAGGATCAAGATGTATAAACTGTTGTTTGATTACGTGAGAAACATCTTCAGTGGCCAACGAAACTGTCCATTTCTCTCTAAGAAAGCATATGAAATGCTACAGCTATACCCAGACCTCTTATAAATACTGAAGCAGTTTAAAACTTGAATGAGCAACAACCCTGTCCTCAGAATTCTATAAAGTTCATTAAGAATGTTTCTTAAAGGTCCAAGAGGCAGCAAACAGCATCTGAAGCCACAATCTATTATAAATACTTTATTTCGACTAGAAGGTACAATCTCTCAGGGGTTTCATAGTTTTAAAAGCTACAATCACATCATGTAACTACATAAAAAAACAGTGCTGTAAATGGGACTGCCTGGCTTAGACCATATACATTTCTGCACAGTCTTTATGGAATCTGCACACACAAAAAATCTTCCTTTGTTCCAATTAATTGTTCTTGTATGTGAGCTGCTTTCTGTTCCAGTAGATCCAGAGCGGGGAAATGACGAGGCCAGCCACGTAGCCAAAGGTCGCTCCGAGCGTGCAGGAGATGGGCCACACCTGAGGAGAGAATGTATGAGATCAAAGAGAACAAATGTTTTATTATTACTTGAGCACAAGTTAAGTGTAACCTAAATATTTCTATATTAAAGCTTAATGTGCTTTCTTAAAGAATGCCAAAAGTGTAATAAGGTCATAACTGCATTTATCACGAACACTAAAAAATGTACACGTTTTAGTTAATGTGCATTCAACTGTAACAAGGCTTCTGGCGACTGTAGATTTAGTTTGATGCTCCCAAACTGCATGAGACACATGCTAAACTTACAAATTAAAATTTTGGGTCAGACTTTGCCATAATCTTGGACTCAATTTAGCTCTCTGAAGTTGGTAATTTTGTTTGTGAATTTCCAAATTGGCTTGTATATCAAATGAAATGAGAAGTGTGTATGATGACCAAACCATACGAAACTTTAAATTGTGTTAAGGAGAAATGACCTAGAATTATAAGCATGTTACATGCAATTTATAACAAAGCAATTGCTTCCATTATAAAACTGATGTTACCTTTCAGATAGATATTGGAACCCTAGTAGAAGATACAGAACTACAACTTAAGTCAAACGCCCAGAGTGTAAGTTAAACAAAATACCAGCTTCCAGACACCCATTCTGTTCCAGCCACATTACATTTCACAATATTACACCAGGCCAGAAGTAAATAATGTTCATTTATTCCATCTACAAACAGTGCATGTTGGTCCCTAGGTGAAAGGCCCTGTTTTTAAAAACTTCATGTTATCTGTGAAGCTTATTTGGCATACTTGAGCCACTTCTAACCTTTCTCTGGGGGAACAGGCTATAGAACCGTGTTAGAGGTGAACCATTTTATTACCATCTGTTACCTATTTAAGTTTCTGCTGTGGATCTACCTTATTCCACATACCATGCAACAGACAACAGAGTTAGACAGTTTCAGTGTGAACAAACCAATGCAGTTCAGAAAGGCATAATCTCATCCATGCATTTCCCCCCACCCCCACAGCCTTTTCTACATTTAAACTTGCTGTTGCCTAAATTATGATTTTGTCTTTGGTAGGCTCCTGTTAATTTCTATGACTTGAGCTTATAGCTATATCTACTGCATAGATTGGTTAATGGAACATTAAACTTTTATACTTGAAAATGACAGCCTTAAATACTCATATCAGTCACAAATCTAGGATGCACTGGCTTGTCTGTGAGCTTTGTAGAGATTTTTTAAAAACATAAGCATCATCTTCCACATTGAAGAGTGGAGAGTCTACTGGGTAACTAGTCAGGAGCTTTCTCTCAGAACTGGACAGTGGATGTCTTCTTTCTCCCACGAAGCGGTAGTTCATATTAAGTACCATGGCCTTATGTATGCTTAAAAGGAATCTCATGTAATGTTCTCATTTACTTTTGGTTTGCTGGTTTTAGATAGAACTGAAAGGAATTGTATAAATCAATTAGTATATTAGCTAAGTTGTCCAACACATGGTATAAAGGAATTAAGACAGTAAAGTATTATGCATTTCCAACTTGTCTTTGGGGATTTGATAGGAATTTACTTTTTCTCAAACTCACATCCCTGGAACTCCTCACACTTGGTTTTGTTTTACTAGCCAATGAAAGTTAAAATCTAGAATTTGTCCTACCCTAAGAGAAATAGACTTAGGAACCTGGAAACACAGTTCTGTCATCACCTGTTTCATGAACGGGCCTGTTTCCTCATCTATAAATATGGACGTAGAACAGGTGATCTCCAATGTCACTCACTTTTATCAACTCTTATGATTCTCTTCTTCACAATTATAATGGTTGGCCATTACCTTTTCAGCTTCACATTATTTTTATTTTCAGCTTCACATTCTTAAGATGGTACAATCCTGTGCATAGATTATTAGAACTTTAAGCAAAGATGATTGTATCATCCAGACCTGAGGTGCCTTAGGTACTCTATTGACCTTGATGGGGTTTGGAGTTTCCCATTGCTTACTAAGAGCCTTTTCATTGCTTTGGTTCTTGAGTATTTCTTTTTGCAAAATCCTTCCTGCCACTTTACCTAAAAACCAAAGATTTGTTTTCTAGTCATTTGTTTTCAGATTATAGAAAATTGCCTTCTTTCCAGAAACACATCTTCATTTGGTCTTCATAGAAATTCAGACTAGTCACTGAACAACTAATTCAAAGAAATAAAATATCTGGGAAATAAAATACTTCAAAAATATCTTAGTGACTTGAATTTTACTAGTGAGTGCAAATACACTGCTTCAAATAAGGTCACGTATGAATGAACTTAAACTTAGTTAATATTTTTTATATATAATCAGTTCTGAAGTTCTTAAAAGTAATTTTAGTGGCTCCCTGAAATCTTATTTAACATTTTGCTAATTTAACCCTCATTCTCTCTCTAAAGGTACATTTTAGGTTAGCTGATTTCGAATTATCGTATTTCCATAAGCAGAGCCTGAATTATGGTTTTTATTGTGAATTATCTTAGTTACTTTAGACATTGCTTCCATTTGATTTTTAATTATTAATTTTAAGTACCAAATTAAATACTGGTTTGTTGGTTGTTGCTTTTTAAGTGATTGTTAATTTAACAGTGTCCCATCTTAACACATGGGGTTGCAAATAAAATAACATGCATAGTTTACTAAATATGTAAAGCATTGAACTTCTTACCTTAGTAGTTTAATTTAACACCCTGTGTAAACATTTGGGATAATACTCTTTCCTCTGTTTCTCATGCTGTGAGTCTATTCATCATTGGCCAACTGTAAGCATCTGCACTTCGTTAAAAAGCATGCTGTCCAAGAATAGGGAGAAATATAACCCCTTGGGAATTCCAGCCAAATTCCAATTTGGGTTACTAAATTCTATTTTAATCACTTTGTAATTTCAGTGTGGCTCTTTGTTTCTAAACACATACAGACATTCACACACACATTCTTTAAGCAGTTGCTGTACATCACCTCCGGTTGAATGCCAGAAATGAAATAAATATTGTTTAAAAAGTTTTGTCTAATGAGGGGATAAAGCTTCTTGAACATTTACTAAATGTCTCAAGAAATCCATGCCTTCAGCAAATTAAAATGTTGGACTGTCTGTGAGATTGTTTCCTAGTGATGGATCAGACTTTCTTGAGTGGTCCTTAATTGTAACATGGTCACTTTTTTTTTTTATGTTTTATTGATTTTTTTACAGAGAGGAAGGGAGAGGGATAGAGAGTTAGAAACATTGATGAGAGAGAAACAACGATCAGCTGCCTCCTGCACACCTCCCACCGGGGATGTGCCCGCAACCCAGGTACATGCCCTTGACCGGAATCGAACCTGGGACCCTTCAGACCACAGGCCGACGCTCCATCCACTGAGCCAAACCGGCTTCGGCAACATGGTCACTTTTTAAAGAGAATTTCTTTATACAAGGGTAACTTCCCTGATTTTTGTAGACCATGATAGGGAATGGCAAATGGAGTAGTTGAAGGGAGTTGGGAGAGGTTGCCCACTAATAATGTTTTTTCTCGAGCAATTTCTTATTAACATTTTTACAATTGTTTTAAAAAATTTAAACCTATACTATGGCAACAGAATTCATATTAACCTGTCAAATAATCCTATCTTAATCATGTATTTCATAACTAGATCTTGAAGTTTGTATTTAAAACTATTTGCTTGTCTCACATATAAAGATGTTTCTATTTAACATTCTTCATGCCTAAAAGGACCAAAAACAACAACACATGGTATCATCTACTGAACAGACGATTCACTGCATTGCTACACATATTTCTCCAAATTGTAGTAATCTGAGATGGCTATGTATAATTAATTATCTTGTTTTGTTTAAGGAAAATAGAAAACTCAAAGACATCCATGTAAAGGAAGTCATTCACAAGTCTTTGCCACCAAAATGACCGTCATCTTTTTATCCAATTTTTATAAGTTTAAAAAAATTTTAAATCAGGAAATAGAAAAAAAAAACACCCCTGTTGCATAACAAAGATAATACAATGCACGTAGGTAAAAATTATTAAAATTAACGTTGCAGGGGAGGGAGTGGGGTGGATAGAGGTGGGAAAGGGTATAAGGGGGATAAATGGTGATGGAAAAAAATAAAAGGAAAAACAAGCAAAAAAATTTTTAAAAAATGAACAGTTACATCATGTGAAGAAAGTATCTTACTTAGTGTACTATTATCATTTATACCAAATAATTCATATTTTTCACCACTTAAAAAAGGTCAGTGTTCTCTTAAAATAATCAGCTTTAACAATAGCCTAATAGTATAGGTTCTGGGTACATGGCATCTGGAAATTTCTCAGAAATAAAACAATTTCATCCTTATAAGATAAAAAATCATTAATAAATAACACAGTTATAATTTTGTGTTTTCTCTGTTAAACGAACTGATATATTTCTGGTTGAAAGGCTCTTCAAAATTACACAAGCTTATTCCCACCTAAAGACCACACTGCTCTCTCTGATCAGGCATTGCTGTAGAACTCTGCTCATTTTAGGAAAGCGAAATGTGCTAATATATCTATGTAGTGTTTGATTTTTTTAATTGATTTTTTTTCTTTTAGAGAGAGGAAGGGGGAGAGAGAGAAACATATGAGAGAGACATCGATCAGTTGCCTCCCGTACTCGTCCCGACCAGGGATTGAACCTGCAACCTGGGTATGTGCCCTGCCTGGAAATCGAACCCACAACCATTTCAGTGTACAGATGACACCCCAATGAACTGAGCCACACCACCAGGGCTTATTTGATATTTTTCAAAGCATGTTCTGAATAGTACAGAATAGGGACTAAGAACACTGGTTTTTGTATTAGACTGAATGAGTCTCAACTCTGCTACTTGTTAAATAAGTGACTCTGGGCAAGTTACCTAATCGTTATGTGCCTTGGTTTCTCATCTGCAAAATGAGGATTATCACAAAACTCACCTCCTGGGGTTGCTGTAATGACTACATGAGAGAATGCACTATGCGGAATTTACAACCACACCTGTAACAATATCTGGCACACAGTAAAAGTGAGCTATACTTGATAATATTTTAGTTCATATTCCTAATGGGTACATACAGCATGGGGAAAAAGTAGGTTTACAGTTGTTTGTATGGAAAATAATACAATAATGAATAAATAATGTAAGAATAAACTTTCATGAACTCACAACTGTAAACCTACTTTTGCCCCATCTGTATAAGTTTTTACAATACAGAAAATCATCATTCCCTAAATCTTTACAGCTGAGATTTCTAAAGCTGCTCCTATTTAAAAAACAAGGTCCTGCCCAAATTTTAAGTACTTCAAAAATAAATTTTAAAAATGACATCTAACAGAATTCATGCTTCCTTGTCAAACACTATCCAGATATATCATATATATACAAAGTGCCTATAATTCAGGGGTTCACAGGCCTCTGAAGCCCATCTATGGACTCCTGGTTAAGAACCCCATCGCCCTAACAAGTATTTTTACTAACTGTTCTAGTGGCCAAAGAAATATGATGACCCTTTACATATTTGGTTTCCTCATTTTAAGGATTATTTTCAGTGCTGTAGATGGCATTTGTTTGTTCTGTGATTTGAGAGTCAATAATTTTAATACATTTTACTTAATTATAAAATGCACAATATTATATAGGTCCACTTAGTATATATTAAGTACAAATAGATGTTTAACCTTGTAATGCCATTAAAGTGATACCCACACTTTCTGATACTCTATGGAACAGCTAGTTTGATATGTCAATGACTGGCAGGGTATAAGCTGCAGATTTCCTAAAGTGATGATCAGGTATTTATTAGGTAATTATGATTATATAATTATGATTTTTGTTGAAACTAGTTATACATACTCAACAGAAAGTTGTGAAATAATTATTAGGCTACTTTAAAAAATACTTCATATTTTACTTGGGAGTTTTAGTTTGCTTTTCTGGGAAGGAGCATGGGACAATGGGCTGAGAAAGATCTGAGTCTGCAGTGCCAAGTCAGCCACTTACTGTCTGTATAACCCCGGCCAGGTCACTGAACACCTGAGCCTCAGCTTCTCAATGTGCAATGCAGGAATAACAGCACCTCTTGTACTTAAAGCATGGGGCTATTGTACTTAATAAAATAGTATTTTAAAACTGTCATGAAAGTTGTAAAGTACCATGCATTGGTATAATTTTGTATATCACATGTCCTAACTTAAAAAAATTAAACTTATGTGATAAATAATATAAGTATTTCTTAGGTAACTGACACTGCTAGGTAATAATTAGAACCAGCAGTTTAGAACAAATAAATTTGTTCATGAGCAGTGTTAATACCCTGCTGTAGGAACTATTCCCTTGCCTTTGCAATGCTGTAATTTTTAATACATGCTATTCTTTACATGAAATGTCTGGAGAGTATGAAGTTTACAAGAGAATACACACTTCATTCACTGTATTACTATACTAGAGGCCCGATGCACAAAATTCGTGCAAGAGTAGGCCTTCCTTCCCCCAGCTGCCGGCACTGGCTTCCCTCTAGCGCCCAGGACCTGGGCTGGCTTCCCTCCGGCTGCCCACAGGCACCCGGGAGGGCTTCCCTCCGGCCTCGGCTTCATCCAGGACGTACGAAATGACGTCCTTGACATCCAGTCTAATTAGCATGTTATCCTTTTATTATTATAGATTATTATAGATGCACCCTCCCCTTAAAAAAGGGGGGGATTCCCGCTCCTAGTTGTCATTTTTATAAGTTTAAGAAGTGTAAGTACAGAAATTGGTTCTACACCAACCACTGGGAGACATCTGTCATTCTTAAGTCTCATATGAATGACTCCATTCATTCATAACTATTTATTGAGCCTCCACTATAAACCAAGTTGTTAAGGTACAAACTAAGATTATTTCATTCAGAATATTTTTAAATAAATTTTTAAAAATATGTGTTGCAATATATAATTTTTGGAGAGATATATGTCATCACAGATATCATGGGGAAACCACCCTATCTGCAGATCAGAGGACCTAGAACACTTAGAACAAAGCAACAACCATTAGGATTACTGGCTCTTTCAGATAAAAAAGGAAGGTTAAACCCAGGCAGCCAGTTATAATTCCTCGCAAGCTATTTTTTAATGTTTTTATTTATTGTGCTTATCACAAATTTGCATTTGCATGACAATTCATCTTTCAAAGCCTGCTAACACTTCTACTGGTTTTAAATGACCATATTTTCCTCTGAATTTGACTGTGATGTTTTTCCAGATGTTCCTAAAGCAAATGCTATTGTCTGATATAGGAGTACATACAGATGATCTACCCATGTGGACATATTTCTTTAGTTGTAAATCTGCACTGATCCGTGTATACTCTACCACTCTCCTATGCCTAACAGTACATACCTGGGAACAGCTGTCTGTGGTGAGATGTGTAGTCTCCAGTCTGGAACTTTTTGTCAAAGTAATGCTAAATGGTTCTTGCTAAGATCATGCAAATGAGTTAATTTGGAAAGCACTATTCTCTCTCACACTGAAAGTCCTTCGAGCAGACCACTGTCAACAGGACTGCCTTACAATGAACCCACCTTTTAAATTAAAACCATTTTCTGGCCCTGGCCGGTTTGGCTCAGTGGATAGAGTGTCGGCCTGCAGACCGAGGGGTCCCAGGTTCAATTCCAGTCAAGGGCACGTACCTCCGTTGCAGGCTCCTCCCAGCCCAGGCCCTGTTCAGGGTGTGTGCAGGAGGCAACCAATCCTTGTGTTTCTCCCACATCGATGTTTCTCTCTATCCCTCTCTCTTCCACTCTGTCTAAAAATCAATGGAAAAATATCCTTGGGTGAGGATTAAAAAACAAATAAACAAAACCGTTTTAAGTCAGTTAAGTATTATAGTTTTTTTTATCCATGTTTGGAATGTGGCATATTCATATAAATTAATATTTTATTTTGGTCTACCTAAAACACTGCTTAATACCTTTGATAATAGAAATACCAAGTAACCTAAAAACAGGCTACTCTTCAACAATTAAATCCATAATTTTAATTTCATCCCTCACTCTAGCATTATTTGTAGTAATTCACTTAGTTATAGTCCTTATGATCCCTAGCTTCAATTTATGAAAAAATTATCTGTGGCATCTGTGACTGTGGAAAATAAATATATGTTTCCCAAATATTAAATTTTTAACCTAATAAGACCAGAGAAAACAAAAAGGATTTTAAAATATAACAATGCTTCATTTATCTGGTATCTGATGGGAATAAGTAAAAATATTTTTTAAATAACTTTAAATTGTTTTAAAGACAATCTCAATCAATTTTGCTTTTTAAGAAATAAGTATGCTTAGAAGAGATTTGATTATCTGGTTTAATTCCATTTTGGAGATAGTAGTATTAAAGTCCAAAGTTTAAAGGCATCTAAGTGGCTGGATATTGAGTAATTTTTACTTTCTTTGTAACTATTAATATTGCTTAAGTTTTCTAAATACAGTGTATATACAGTCTCTGTAATCAGAAAAAAAACTTTCTTCATGTTGGAAAAAGAAAAATATATTTTTAAAAGCACAATTCCATTTAGGGAAAATTATCTTAAGGATATAATTGGGAAAATCTGTGAAGATACAGAGTCAAAGATGTTTATGATAACACTGTTTATAATAGTAAAATATTGGCAATACCTAAATGATCAATAGTGAGTTTGTTAAATAAATTTTAGAATAACTCTATAATGGCATACTACTAAGCCATTAAAAATTAAATAATGATATATGCATTACTAGCTCAGTGAACTTTAAAATATTACATATCTTCTTGGTACCAGTTTCTTCATCTGTAAAATGGGGATAAAAAGAACACTTATCTCATAGTGCTTTACCTAGCTTATTTAGCCAAATCCTATTGGGATAGGAAACCGAAAACCTGATGTTAATGAGCTTCCATCTATATCATGTACCCCTTTTAAAAACCCATTTTGCTACATGCTTTTAAAAAATATTTCAAGATCAACATAACTTGGCCATCAATCACATTAACAAAAGTATGACTCTAAGGCAGCCATGGGCAATGAATAAAACTAAAAAACAAAAAAGACCGTACCCTTTTATGTAATGATGTTTACTTTGAATTTACATTAGTTCACACAAACACTCCATCCATGCTTTTGTTCCGGCCCTCCGGTCCAGTTTAAGAACCCATTGTGGCCCTCGAGTCAAAAAGTTATGTAGAAAACAAACAAAACCGTCCTGGAAGATAGAACCGTCATTGCTACTTCATTGAACAAAACAATTTACATAAATCAATCAATCAATCAATAAATAAATAAATAAAATCTATGTTAGCGTCATCAGTTTTATGATTGCAAAAACATTTATCTTGTAGCTTTAAGTAGCTAAAACCAACCTGCCATGGCCTTTCCCAATCGAGTGGAATAGGAAAGGCTCCAAGCCATGTTCCTAGAAAACTAGAAATTGTGGTGATCTGGAGGCTATTCTCCCAAACGGATGTAACTCTGTAAAACACAAGCAGTTTTATGATTGTAAAAACATTTATGTTGTAGCTTTAAGTAACTAAAACCAACCTGCCATGGCCTTTCCCAATCGAGTGGAATAGGAAAGGCTCCAAGCCATGTTCCTAGAAAACTAGAAATTGTGGTGATCTGGAGACTATTCTCCCAAACGGATGTAACTCTGTAAAACACAAGCATGCAAATTGGTGGTATATATCTTAGCTGCTGCAGAATCTAACAAACAGAAGCACAAGTTAACACTATGCATACATACTCTGTTCATTTAAAATGGGCACCTCAAATTGACTTATATTTACCATGAACTATTAACAATTGGCAAGAAGAAAGCATTTTTCAGTTGAAAAGCTAACACATGCACACAGTATAAGTCGGACAAAATGAGAGTGCATTTGCAGTGAAATCTAGGTCTTCTTCCTGCCCTTATCACTACTGGTTCCTTTCCCCAGAAGCAACTGCTATACCATCACCTTGTAAATTCCCTTTGCTTCTCAGTGATTTTGAGTCTCCTGTTTTCTAGATTCCAAGACTTCCTCCTCCTATTTTCCTTTTTTTTTTTTTAAAGTATCTCCTTCAATAGATTCCTGAGAAAGGGTACATGGAAAATAGATTTTAGAGATGTTTTACATCTGAAAATGATTTGACTATAATTGTTGGAAATCATTTGCCTCAGGATTTTGAAGGCATTGCTCCATTCTTTTGATTCCCACCTGAGAGGTTCAGAGTCATTCTGGCTCCTAGACTTCTCTGGGGAACATGTTTTCCTCACCACCCCCTTCTGGAACCCCTTAGAATCATCTATTACTGGTTATCTAAAATTTCACAATAATGTGTCTTGAAGTGGCTGTCTTCTCATACATTATGTTGGAAATACATGGGCCTTTATTTTAAAAATATTTTTTTATTGATTTCAGAGAGGAAGGGAGAGGGAGAGAGAAACATCAATGATGAGAGAGAATCACTAATCGGCTGCCTCCTGCACGCCCCCTACAGGGGATCGAGCCCACAACCCGAGCATGTGCCCTTAACTGGAATCGAACCTGGGACCCTTCAGTCAGCAGGCCAATGCTCTATCCACTGAGCCATACCGGCTAGGGCTACATGGGCCTTCTTAATCCACAATCTCAGGTCTTGAAATTTTCTTTTACTTAAAGATTTGTTTTATTCGGCCCAGATCCCACTGTATAACTCCTATTGCTTATATTAATCTTTTATAAATATACTAGAGGCCCGGTGCACAAAAATTTGTGCACTCAGGGGGGAGAGGGGGTCCCTCAGCCCGGCCTGTGCCCTCTCACAGTCTGGGACCCCTCGGGAGATAATGACCTGCTGGCTTAGGCCTGCTCCTGGGTGGCAGAGGGCAGGCCCAATCCCTAGGTGCAGCCCCTGGTCGGGCTCAGAGCAGGGCCGATTGGGGAGTTGGGGCGCCGCCCCCTGTCATGCACAGAGCAGGGCGGATCGGGAGGTTGCGATGCCACCCCTAGTCACGCTCAGGGTAGGGCCGATTGG